TTCGGAGACCAAAGGCTTTCAGCACAGGAGAAGCAGGAATATGATCTTCTCAATACAAAGCCACAGAATCACTCAGCCTTACAGCTGGATAAGGGCCTCAGCATCTCTCTAACTAGATTTCTCTCATCCTTAGCAGGGGTGCCAGCACTGTCCAAGAAAACTTTCTATGATGATGGCAATGAACATATTTGCTCTGTCCAATACAGACTCCACTTGCTAGTCACATGTGGCTACTGATCACATGAAATGTAGCTAAGGCAACAGAGAAGGTGAATTTTTAATTTAATTTTAATTTTAATAGCCACATGTGGGTAGTGGCTACTATATGGGACAATGTGGTTCTACAGCATCCCAACCAGACCTCATGGGCAATGCTAATTTATGACCTCAGTTTGCTCTATGGTATTCCACAGACCAAAGAACATCATGGAATTTTACACAAAGAAAAACTAACATATGTGCTAAAGGACCACAAGATAAAAAAGCTAACTGGACTACCCTTTGCCTACAGTTTGAATATTGATCACTTCAATAAGAAAATGTTTACATTCTTACAGACTGAGCAAGTTAGAAACAGAGGAGATGCTAAGACTATCTAGCTCAACCCCCTCATTTTTATACATGGGAAAACAGACATGCTATACCTTTCTCCTCAGACTGTACCTGATAGACTTCTTGTTTTTTAGGGAGTCCTGTGTAGTTCCATACTTGCTCCTAAAGATTCTGACAACCTGCCCAGTTATTCTGTATCTCTATGTTTACCAGGGTAAGAGCCAAGCTGGGGAGAAGAAATCACCATCACCATCAGTGACCAGGATCTCCTCCTCAATGCTTTTGCAAGGGCCCAAAAGCCAGGCCCTTGTAAACTACAGGCAAAGAGCTAAGCTGGGGCTAGTGGGGGAGCGGGGGAGGGGGAGTGAGGGGGGCGCGATGCTGGGGCCAGACTCTGGATACAGAGCCCTTCAGTTCCTCTCTAGCTCCTGCCCACCATCCATCTTCACTTGTCCAGTCATCTATTCAGATAGCCCCTGATTTGATATTCAGAAAAAAAATCTGTTTTCCTCTCATATAAGCTCAGAGCAGTGGTCTCAGTTTAAACTGGGGCTTCTAGGCAAAACTGGCTCCCAGAGCAATCTCTTTCCCTTTGTTATTTGCTGAATGGGTCCCTAGAGAAAGGGGGCCCTCATTGGTGTGGGTCATAGAAATGAAGATTTTAAAGTTATGGAGAGAAAAAAAATCTAATTTTCTTATAAAAAGAAAAACATCTTTTTCTCTGATTTTTTTAACCTGGAAATTAAGAAGAACACAGATACATATAAGCCTAATTTTTAGTAGTGTTATTTAGAGATCTTTGGTCATACTGTTAAGGAGAATGACTATGACATATAAACATTTATTCATCAAATACTTACTGAATACCTTCTTTGCACTATGCTAAGCATATAGCATCTTATATCTTATAGAAGAGACAAGTAACACTCATCCATTCAGTATTTATTGAGCCCCTACTAGACAAAGTTCCTATCTTTTTAGAACTTATATTCCAGTAATGGGAGCCTTTCAATAATCATGTGTACAAAATAAAATTATCATTTTAGATAGCATAACTCCTAAAAGAACATAAAAACAGTAGGATAGAGCATGATGGGTGGGGTGGGGGATGTACTACTTTTGCTATGGTGGTCAGGAATGAGAAAAAATGCCCCAGGTAGAAGGAACAGTATGTACAAAGGCCCTGAGATGAGAACAAGCTTGATAAGGCCAGAATGAAGTGAACAAGTGCCTAGTGCTTCAGACAAGAGGTCTGTGAAAGAGGTGGGTTCAGATTACACAAGGCGTTCATTATAGGCAAGGTAAAAGGTGTGGATGCTATTTCTAGACAATGGGAAGGCACTAGGGAGTTTTAAAGGTGAGAGTGAGAGAGAGAGACGATCAGATTTATAATACATACAATTATGGATAAAATATTTACAATATAGGAAAATGACTACAAAGCAAGCTATTACAAAGGATTATAGCAACTATGTTAATAAAGAAACCTGCATCACTAGTGGTGTGATGGCATTCCAGGCTATAACAGCAGGTGCAAACTTGTGTAAATTGGAAACAACACTGTGAGCATGATGGCACACTGGAGGGGACCACAGGTGGTCAGTCACATGGAGGCCAAGTAGGTATGAGCCATGCCTAGGAGACCTTAGACACCAGAAATTGAAATTATTTTGCAAGCTACTTGACTTTGCAAGTTCTTAACTTGACTCTTAAAATACCGGTATCAAGCCCTAATATTGGTCTTGGTACACAAAACCAATTAGATCAGAACTTCTAAGGCAGGAGGGCAGGCACCAATATATTTAAATGCTCTTTGGGTGATGCTAATGCACAGCCAGGGCTGAGAACCACTGCTGCAAGTGATGATTGAGGGGTCCTGCAGGGTTTGAGGCAAGCAGGAACAATTATTTATTTTCCATTACAAATTTGTTTTTCCAAAGATTATATTTTAGAATACAGTATTTTTAAAGTATAATATATTCAAGCAATGATGACAAATTAATTACACATTTGCATTTTAAAGTGCTGAACATTGTCACAAATGGAGTCACAAGTTTCCATTCCTCCTGAACTCTGGCCTTTATGAGAGTTTATGAGAAATCCAGAAACTTCTAAACAGAAGAAACCATCAACGGTACAGAGTTGGTGGATTTTAGAGCCAGAAGAGTATTGCAGAGATCCCTTTATTTTATAGATATAAAAAGAGAGGTTCAGAGAGGTACCATGACAAGGCCAAGGTTACCCAGGGTTAGCAGCAAGGACAGAAGTGGAAACCAAGCTTTTTCTACCACACCATGCTGCTGCGTGTTTTTTACTCAAGAAAAACCATCCTAATTTCTGGACTTGGCATCCTTCACAATACCAAGTAGATCATGAAAGAGCACTTAATTTTAGAAGAGAAATACAGAAGAGGAAAAGAGTAGGGGGAAAGAAGCCAAACTAATTAAATACAGTTTAGGGCACATACAACTTTATTTTTCAGGTTATCCCCTTAGTTTATGACTGCTAAAGTTACTGCTTCTTCTGCTACTTTTATTCTGCTATTTCCATAGGCTTCTGTAAACTGAGAATTTATTCCAAGTAATACAAGTTTTCTACAGGTTAGTAATTCTTCTTCAAGGCACATAGTTCAAGATGTAGACCCATATCTTTCTCCAGCCTCTGGAAGATAGAAGCTTTTGAAGCAGAGACATAGAAGACTGGGTCCTTTCCAACCATGCAGCAGGATGCATTTCATAACTGAATCCCTGACTCTGTGTTAGAATCAAATATCTGAACATGTTTTGAGTATATAGTTGAAACATCATTCCAATACTGAAAGCTGAAATATGCTCTATATTTTAAAGGTGTGTCAGGCAAATGTAGCAGCAGTGCCAACTGTATTTATATTTCCACCTTTGAGTTCTAGACCCAAGATTTGTACAGCAGCAATGACCAACCATGTAGTTCTTCTCCATTTCTTGATAAAGTCTTTCATTTTACTTTCCTCTGGACAAGGGAGGAAGTGCACTGAGATTTTAAATGCCAGCTGAGTTTATCCGAAAACAGAGGTAAAGAATGTCTCAGCCAAGGTCACTGTCCAATCTAGATGCAGCAATACCCATAGAAAATGACTTTGTATACTTAAGTGTGTGAGTTCTGAAGTGAATCCAAAAGATGGTGCTTTCTGCTACCACAATGACCAAAGAAGGGACTGAGTTCAAGCTGGACTGTGTGTCAGCTCTGAAAGCTATGACCATCCCCCACAGAGCTAGATATTGCTACGGAGTCAACAGAAACAGAGGTTTGGCCAAGGCTTGGTCATGCAAAGATGGAAGCAAGTCTTCAGGCATTAAAAATCAGTCAGGTAGCCCAAGAGCAAGACTACATACAGATAAACTCAGAAGGAGGAGCACAGAGCTTGGAAGTTAGCTCGGAGCATGCCTAAGGAGAAATATGTCAAGTCCACAGTAAAGAGCCAAGCAGTCACTTCTGACTTTAAAGGGACCAACCTCAAGACAGTCATCAGTATGCTTTCTTCAGCCAGAAATCCTCTTAAATTGTCTCCGCATCTTCTCAGGATATACTCAGAACTCTACCACTGTCTAGAATAGAGGAAAGGGTTCCCAGAACTGGGTATATCTTTCTAAGCTATAAAACCATACTTTATACTCCTTTAAGATCCTTACTTTCATGAATAACTTAGGTATTTTTTTAAACTGTCAAAAGGACATCTCTACTCTACATTATCTAGTTTTTTCGACAACCTTTCAGATGCTTTTCCAGACTTATCCAATGTTTTTAAGCCCTGAGTAAAGATCCTAAAATAGTTCCATGTCCTATTGCAATATTTATACATTTCTTCTTCTATATGGTTTCCTTTTACTTCTTATGCAGCTTCAATTCTAGAGCCTATTATGTGTTTTAGAAACTATTTTTCTTTTCTATCCATTTTTTGGAGTGCATTCAGCTTATAAACACCTATAAGGAACACGCACAAAAAATCTATTTTAATGTCATGAACAGATTCAGGCTATTGGATGCACCTTCTAATGCAGCATCAGATGAGGACATTTTTCTCCACACTTTTGTATCAACTGCAAGGTGATTTGTCAAAACAAATACTTTACCACTCTTCTCGATAAGACTTCATATATTCCATGCATGGTGGTTCCCTTCTATTTTTAATGCATCTGGAAACACAAAAGATGATTTCAGTGTCACTATCATGGAATTTATGGTTCCTTCCTCTCTGTGTGAGTGATCAACCACCCATCAGCAGTCCTGCAGGAGCCGCTTGTCTTCATGGGTGCTTCTGTGGCCTGTCCACATCCTCGCTCTAAAGAGGTTTGCCAGGAATGCCTTCTGGAGCCAGAACTGGTGTACATATGTAACCTTCTGGCCAATATCCACTTTCAGGCACTCATACCAACATGCCAGGAAAACACAGAGCTCTTTTTAATTTTTTTATATTTATTTATTTATTTATTTATTTTGTCTCTTTCATCTTCAAACATCATCTTTTTCTGTGCCATGTTTTGAACAGAGCTAAGGGGACTGTGGGTGGCTTGCAGTTGCTCCCTGTACGGTCCCGCTGAGGATGCTGTGGTTTGGGACAGAGCAGCAGCAGGAAGTAGAGATGTGGAGTGCTAGAAGGAGGTTACCCCTGCTCACTCATGAAGAACTGTTTAATGCAGCAGATTTATCCCACACATGAGATGTACTCAGCCATCCTTGTCTCCTTCAGACACCCTCATTTCCAGTGATGGTATTTGAAAGTCAAGCTGCTTCTTCTTTGGAATAACCTGCAGTGAGGAAGGTCTTCAGGTGCAGGAAGGAAGTTCCATTTTGCTAAGGAGAAAAAGGACAAAACTGTAGTTGGTGCTTCTCTAGTTTCCAGGCAATCTTCTCCATCATATATAACTCTAATAATAGCCCATTCAGAGGGCACTAGGCAGTATTCTCGTTCTGAAGGCTCCACTTCAAGAGTAAGACTGGGTGTTTGACTTTGCCTTAGAGCATGGATTCACAAGAATTCAAATATAATTTACATGCATTATGGAAATATGCCACTAGAGCTAAAACAGACTATAATAATGAGTTCAGATGAATTTAAACTCTTACCTTTCAGAGAGAAGACATCCCTTTTTTCTTTGTGAATCTCAAAGTGAAGGGCCACAAGGGGCTGATTTCCAACTTCCTTCCAACTCCTACACCTTCACACTGGCTCTTACTCCTGCCATGCAAGGCAGTGAGCTTCTTGTTTTATAATCTCCACAGGTTCCAGCGAGAGTCCACTCCACCCAGACTTTTAAGGCCTAGTTAGGAGGACGGGAACTTGTCCTCCAACCTGTGGAGCAAAATTCAACAAGAAGAAGCCCACAAGGAAGGCACTGATTTTCCCTATCCCCTGCCCCCTCTCAGGAAAGTGGCTGCCTGCCTTGAAGGCAGAAGCACATGTAGCTGTTGCATCTAGGTGCTGGGCCTGGCTCTGTGCATGACTCAAAATCATCTGGCACCATAGGCAGTTCTACATTAAACAGTGTTCTGTGTCATTTTCAGAGATGACTTAGAGGAGGCACAATACAGGTTTCAATATTCGACCATGAAAATGTACACATTTTATTTTGTGCTAAAATGAAACAACTTCTCAATCCAAAAGATGTCCATCTTTCAGCCACTTTCTGTGTTATTCTTTAGGCCTTCAGCCTATGGGAGACTCCTCAGAAACTGAGAGGTTATCAGGCAATATTTATGCCTGTGGTTCTGATCTTCAGAAGCAGCTCAGAGCTAGGAAGAGGAGAAAACTGGGAGGTAATCCTATAAGGCTTTGATGTGGAAGCCCACAGGCCTGCAGAATGAAATGCTCTGGGAGGTGTGCAAATAGCTCTGGCTTCTGAGAGCAAAGTTGGGGCCAAAGGACTGGAGTCTGTGATAACATGTGACGTTTTTGGTCAAGTGCCTGAAGCCACATGGGACTCCCATAATTCTGTGCTATAGATGTAAATCTATTTGCACCCTGACCTCTTGGGGTAAAGAGTAAATAGAGTACCAAAAGGAAGAAGAAAGAGGAAAGAATAGTGCTGAGGAGGGGGCATAACCTTGGGGCAGAGCCAGAAAGGTGACCTCAGATCACATGTTATTAAGTACGGTTTACAGTTCATCTCAATTCCAATTATTGTGATCTAATTTACCCACTCCCAGGGGAATTTCTAGAGCCATCCAAAAGTAATAACAATAATCCACTGTGTTAATGGAGTCCTGGTAAACAGGGCTAATTCCTCACAATGACCGTAAATACGAGCATTCACCACAAAGTGCAATAATTGTCCTATTACCCGGAATGTCAAATTTACTTTAATGTCGGCTTTATTTGTATCTGCATTTCTTGTGGGGTGGTGCTTGTGTTTGTACATGTGGTAAAATATACATAACAGAAACTTTAGCATTTTAACTATTTTTAAGTGTACATACAGTTCAGTGCCATTAAGTACATTTATACTGCTGTATAACCATCACCACCATCCATATCCAGAACTTCTTCATCATCCTGAACTGAAAACTGTACTATTTTTCACACAGTCCGTGAGCCATCCCAGATCCCAAAGCACAAGGAATCTGCCGGTGCTTCACATTCAGCTCTGGAAAGAACTCTAAATTACAATATTATATGGCATTTTAAGATTTACAAAGTGTTCTGTGAAACAATGCTCAGCATCCCTCCTCATCAGGGAAATACAAATCAAAACCACACTGAGATACTACCTCATGCCAGTCAGAGTGGCTAAAATGAGCAAATCAGAGGACTCTAGATGCTGGCGAGGATGTGGAGACACGGGCACCCTCCTACACTGTTGGTGGGAATGTAAACTGGTGCAGCCTCTCTGGAAAACAGTGTGGAGGTTCCTCAAAAAATTAACGATAGAACTCCCCTATGACCCAGCAATAGCACTGCTGGGAATTTACCCAAGGAATACAGGAGTGCTGATGCATAGGGGCACATGGACCCCAATGTTCATAGCAGCACTCTCAACAATAGCCAAAACATGGAAAGAGCCTAAGTGTCCATCAACGGATGAATGGATCAAGATGTGGTTTATCTATACAATGGAATACTACATGGCAATGAGAAAGAATGAAATCTGGCCATGTGTAGCAACATGGATGGACCTTGAG